GCTAATGGAACAAAAAAAGCAGCTAGAAACAAACTGGTAAACTTGAGAATTAAACACAAGACTAGGGGCGTATGGGTGGCTCAGTCAGTTAAGCATCTGTTAAGTATACAACTTCAGCTCAGGTCATGATCTCGTGGATTTGTGAGTTCAAGTCCTGCCTCACGCTCTGCACTGCCAGTGTGGAGCCTGCTTGGGATTCTCTCTCTCCCTCTCTCTCTCTATGCTCTGCCCCCACTTGTGCGTGTGCCCTCTCTTTCAAAATAAATAAATAAACTTAAAAAAAAGGCAAGATTAAACAATAAGTGTTACTTAAAAAAGTGGGGGAAAGAATGGTACATAAAACTGGGGAAGAATGGTACTGGCAAAACTAGTTGGGCAGGTAGGATAAATAACTACTTTAGAATCTCATCTCATATGATGCATTAAATAGTTGACAGACCACACAAACCAGAAGGAAATACAAGTACATATTTGACTTCTGGATGGAAAATGACATCAATAAAATAGATAACAAAAGGAAAAACAATTGGACTAGTTAAACCTGATGAAATTGTGCACATCTAAAACCATTATAAACACAATTAACAGTCAAACTAGAGATGTGGAAAATCCACAATACCTACAACTAATCAACGGTTAGCATCTGTACTACAAAAGGAACTTACAGAAATAAGACTAATAATTCAATGGAAAAATTTACAGGGACTACCAATAATTTACAGAAGAGTAAATACGAAACACTAATATACGAAAAAAATTTATATGAGTAAATCAAAGAAAACTAAAATGAGATATTTTTTGCTGAATAGAAAATACTTAAAAATTTAGAAATAGCTAATGCTGAAAGGGTCCAATGGGACAGACATTTTCAGAAACTGCTGATGGAGTATAGATTGGTATGCTCTTTCTGGAAAGTAATTGGCCACTGTGAATCAAGATTTTCAACATGTTCACATCCTTTCAACAGGTATTCCATTTCTAGAAATTGTCAGGAATGTGTACAGAGTGATATATCTATACAGTAATCAGAACGTTATGACAACAAAATGTGCAAAAATAATCTAACTGCCTAACAGGGAATGGCTGAGTAAAATGAAAGCACATCTTAAAAGATTAATATTATATAGCAGTTAAAAATAACACTTATAGGGGCGCCTGGGTGGTTCAGTTGGTTGAGCATCCAAATCTTGGTTTCAGCTCAAGTTATGATCTCACAGTTCGTGGGTTCAAGCTCCGCACTGGGCTCCATGCTGGGAGTGTGAACCCTGCTTGGGATTCTCTTTCTCCTCTCTGACCCTCCCGACTCAAAATAAATACATAAACTTAAAAAAAAATAACATTTACAAAATTTTAACAAAGTACAAGGATATTAATAATACAATACTAAGTAGGGAAAAAGATAAAAGCTGAGGAAGATACTCCAAAATGTTACTATTATCTCTGGGTAACTAAACAGTTATTCTTAAACTTTTCTTCAATTTCAAAAATTTTCCATAATCAAAATATATTGGTTATTTTTAGGAGGGAACCTCTTAAGAAATTAGTCTTATCTACTTGCGAAGTCAGACATAATCCATCACATGTTAAAATGACTGACAATGTTAAAATTTAACAAGCATGGTTTTACATACAGTACACTTACCACACAGAAAACCAAATAGTCGAATTTCAAGAAATCTTAACTTTAAGAAATGTTGGTATAGTAAGCCCACTTTCCTATTGTAAGTCACTTAAAAAATCATTCAGGGGCTGAAGTAATGCAGCCCGTTATTTCTGCAATTTCAGTATATACAGTCAGTATGCTTATCATGGTGCTTGGCAGTATGCTGCATTGAACGCATTTTATCTATTATCACAGTAACAAATACAACCTAAACTCTCATAACAATAGTAACATTTTGACAGCAGTTCTAATCTATACTATGGTATGTTATGCCTACAAAATTGTTTTTTCAAAGTTCATTTATTTGAAGTAGAGAGAGCGTGGGAGCAGGGAAGGGATAGAGAGAGAGGGAGAGAGACAATTTCAAGCAGGCTCTGCATTGTCAACACACAGCCCAATGCAGGGCTTGAATTCATGAACCGTGAGATCATGCCTGAGCCAAAATCAAGAGTTGGACGCTTAACTGACTGAGCCACCCTAGGTGCCCCCTACAGAATTAATTTTTATTAGAATTGCATATAGATCTTCCCTTATGATGGGGTTATGTGCCCTGATAAATCCACTGTAAATGGAAAATATTGTAAACTGAAAATGCATTTAGTACACCTAGTCTACTTAACATCATAACCTTGCCTACCTTAAATGAGCTCAGAACATGTACAGTAGCCTAAATTGGGGAAAATCATTCACCACAAAGCCTATTTTATATGAAGTATTGAATATCTCATATAATTAATTGAATACCATACTGATGGTGAAAAACAGAATGGTTCTAAGTATACTGGCTGTTTACCCTCATGATTGCATGGGTGCCTCACAGTGTACAGAGTATTGTATGGCAGGGTACTGCTAGGCCGAGGAAAAAGTTCAAAATTTGAAGTGTGGTTTCTATTGAATGCCTATTGCTTTTGCACCATCTTAAAGTTGAAAAATTGTAAGTCAAACCATCGGTACAAAGCTGGCCAAAACTTGTGTTACTCTATCTTATGAAAAAATACAATCTTTTCATTAAAGTACAGTTTTAACTAAAAATAATTTCACTGTAAAAGTATCCACAGAGTAGTCATCTAAAGTATCATCTCAAAGCATTAATATTTTGAAGAAAAACTGCTAACTCGTACTTTTTTTTATTCACCTGAAGATTTAAACATTTAAGAAACACTAATTTGTGGAGCTGGGAGTGAAGTCTTCCTTTTATTGTGTAAATACTCTCAAGACAGTAATTTAAACATGTGAGCTAGTAATACAAACCTAGTAATACAAATCAGGTAACATCCCTACCTTGATACTGGTTTAATTGATAAAACTGTTCTGTTTCTTGAATACTGGCTTTAAAACTTTGCTGAACTGCAATAAACCATTTTCAAGACAGTAACAAAATAAGCTTTTTTTCTGCTCTTCAGATCTATGGAAGCCTTCATTAAATATGCAGGTATTTGTTTCTCTGACAGAATAAGGATGGTGAGTGTGACAATGTTCATATATAAATGGTATGAGTTAGTGTCTGAATCTGTGGTCACAAGAAATGCTATGGCAAAAATGAACTATTGGGATGTCATCAAAAGAAAAAGCTGCACAGCGAAGGAAACAATCAGCAAAACTAAAAGGCAATTGATGGAATGGGAGAAGATATTTGCAAATGACATATCAGATAAAGGGTTAGTATCCAAAATCTATAAAGAACTTATCAAACTCAACGCCCAAAAAACAAATAATCCAGTGAAGAAATGGGCAAAAGACACGAATAGACACTTCTCCAAAGAAGACATCCAGATGGCCAACCAACACATGACAAAATGCTCAACATCACTCATCATCAGGGAAACACAAAACCACAATGAGATACTACCTCACACCTGTCAGAATGGCTAACATTAAGAACTCTGGCAACAACAGATGTTGGCGAGCAGGTGGAGAGAGAGGATCTCTTTTGCACTGCTGGTGGGAATGCAAACTGGTGCAGCCACTCTGGAAAATAGTATGGAGGTTCTTCAAAAACTTAAAAATAGAACTACCCTACGATCTAGCAATTGCACTACTAGGTATTTATCCGAGGAATACAGGTATGCTGTTTTGAAGGGACACATGCACCCCAATGTTTATAGCAGCACTGTCAACAATAGCCAAAATATGGAAAGAGCCCAAATGTCCATCAATGGATGAATGGATGAAGAAGATGTGGTATATGTATATATACAATGGAGTATTACTCAGCAATCAAAAAGAATGAAATCTTGCCATTTTCAACTACATGGATGGAACTAGAGGATATTATGCTAAGCGAAATTAGTCAGAGAAAGACACGTATCATATGACTTCACTCATATGAGGACTTTAAGATACAAAACAGGTGAAGGGAAGCAAAAATAATATAAAAACAGGGAGGGGGACAAGACATAAGAGACACTTAAATATGGAGAACAGAGGGTTACTGGAGGGGTTGTGGGAGGGGGGATGGGCTAAGTGGGTAAGGGGCATTAAGGAATCTACTCCTGAAATCACTGTTGCAGTATATGCTAATTAATATGGATGTAAATTAAAAAACTAAAATTTAAATTTAAAAAATATATAAAAAAAATTCTTTGGAAACCTAGTATTGTCTAGAATGGTTTTGTTTGTAATATATACATAATATGTTAATGAGCTACAAATTAATATGCATAAGTTTTGTACTCCGATTCAATTAAACTCAATGAAACTACAAAATATTTAACATTCAAAAAAAAAAAAAGAAATGCTATGTTTGGGTAGGAATCAAAATAATCATTAGCCTGGACTGAGTAGTATACAGAATCATTAAATCACTATATTGTATACCTGAAACAAATATAACACTGTATGTTGACTATACTGGAATTAAAACAAACATATATTGGCATCTCTATTAAAAAACCCAATCATTAGCTTACTTTTTAAAATAACCACATTTTTGGGTCGCCTGGGTGGCTCAGTCGGTTAAGCATCCAACTTCGGCTCAGGTCATGATCTCACAGTCTGTGAGTTCGAGCCCCATGTCAGGCTCTGTGCTGACAGCTTGAGCCTGGAGCCTGCTTCAGATTCTGTGTCTCCCTCTCTCTGACCCTCCCCCGTTCATGCTCTGTCTCTGTCTCAAAACTAAACATTAAAAAAAATTTTTTTTAAATAACCACAGTTTACATTTTAAAATATTTAAGAATACTTAGTTAGAAGAAATAAAACCATTCTAGAAATAAAAGAAATGAGCCACACTTTCCAAGAGCACCTTATCCTTGAAATGAGTTACTGCAATGTATGGAAGGAAGTACTGAGATATACAATACAATTTGTAGGAAGAGTGGGTTAAGTTTCAGGTACTTACTGAGACTCAACTTCTTGTTTAATTTCTTGCCATTCTCCATATGGGTTTGATTTTTTAGGAGCTTTGGATTTTTCTTCATTTGGACCTGATGAATTTTGCTCTTGGGTAGTTTTTTCTTTCTGTGTTTCTGGTTCAGTTCCTTTGTCACTACTTTTATTTTTTTCCTGAAATGCCAAAGAAAAAACATATTTTAAGCAAAATTATAAGGATGCAATTTCTTTAACATAGTCTTATTATTGATTTAAATAGTACATTACCTCAGTATTTTTAATTTGCACATAACAACAAATATACATAAAAGAATTTTAATGCTTGATTAGGTTTTTTATTATGTCTAAAATGATAAGACACCATGGTCAAGGCTGTTATGTATATATGTATGTATGCATATATTTATTTAAAGGTTATTTATTTTGAGAGAGACAGAGACAGAGCGAGTCAGGGAGGGGCAGAGAGAGAAGGAGACAGAGAATCCCAAGCACTGACTCGGGGCTCGAACTCACTAATCATGAGATCATGATCTGAGCCAAAACTAAGAGCTGGACGCTCAAAGAACTGAGCCGCACAGGTGCTACTAAGGGTGGCTTTTAAAAACAATTGTATTAACATTCCACCATTAAAGACATACACTGGCCTTTTTAATACTCTTTTCTGCCTTCCCTCCTTACTTACATATTCTACAGTCATCTCCCCTTACACTGTACCTTTTCTGAGTTTAATGCCATGTCATTAAACCTTTCTATACTCATTGTCTTTGTAAAGAACTCCCTCAACCTATCAGTCTTAACTGAAATCGTCTTTACATTGAGGACAGTGCCAAAGCCTCAGTGGAGTCAATAACTGCTAACTATGAAATGAGAAAAGACACACCCTTGAGAGAGAAGCAGGTCCTATGGGAGCCCCTGGCTAGGGTTGGTATTCTTATGGCACCCCTTCATCTGGAATAACAAAGCCCTATGATCCAGTTGGGCAAAGGGACCACGCACTAGATTTCAGCCTCTTTTCATAATGCACAACCATGTGTGGTGATCCTAGGACACTGTTCTGTAATTCTTTAAGTGGATATTAACTCATTCCCTCATGCTGTTCCATCATAAAGATAGGAAGCAGCATCTGCTTTTAGCATTCTCTTCACTGTTTCCAAGCTCTGACTTCTTTTTAATAACAGATTTTTAGAGATAATTTATGCTTTGATTCTAATGCAATGTAATAAATGCCTCCTCCTCTGGAGCGTATATCACCTCCTATAGAGTTGTCTTCCATGCTTCCTTACATGAGCTAATGACCTTTGGCCACTATCCCATATACACTGATGTCTTTACCATATTTTTTGTTGTTGTTTTCTACCATGTTCTTTCTATTCAACTCATCATTTTGGACCTTAAAAATTCCCTAGCCTGTTTTGTGAGCCCCAAAATCAAGGACTGTGCCTTTCGCTATATTTCAGTCACCTAACGTTATATATTTTCCATCATACATAGCGCCTAGTACATAGGTAGTATTCAAATAGTAAATCCTCACATCTATGTTCCTTTTTAATTTGAATTATGTCATCACTCAAAAATGTCCCACTTGTGAAATTTTAAACTCTAAAAGTCCCCCGTTCTAACTACAGTAAGTTATTCTTCTGGCTTCCTCCCTTCCTTACCTCCTGTCTATAACCTCATTACCATCTCTAATGCCTTAACTTCTCTTTATGTCCTTAGTTTGCTGACCTCATCATTACAGAGATCCACATCCATAGTGAATCATTTTATTTATTTTTGATCATTCTTTAAAACATTGGAAGTGTGGGGCACCTGGGTGGCGCAGTCGGTTAAGCGTCCGACTTCAGCCAGGTCACGATCTCGCAGTCCGTGAGTTCGAGCCCCGCGTCAGGCTCTGGGCTGATGGCTCGGAGCCTGGAGCCTGTTTCCGATTCTGTGTCTCCCACTCTCTCTGCCCCTCCCCCGTTCATGCTCTGTCTCTCTCTGTCCCAAAAATAAATAAACGTTGAAAAAATAAATAAATAAAACATTGGAAGTATATTCTTTAATCCCCATAAACTATCCATCCCCCCACCCACCTTCCCTCTGGTAACTATCAGCTTATTCTCTATAGTTAAGGTTCAGTTTCCTGGTTTGTCTTTTTTTCCTTTGCCCATTTGCGTTGTTTCTTAAATTCTACATACAAATGAAATAATATAGCATTCGTCTTCCTGTGACTGACTTATTTTGCTTACCATTATACTTTCTAGCTCCATCCATTTCTTTGCAAATGGCAAGATTTCACTCCTTTTTTATGGCCAAATAATATTCCACTGTGTATATATACACTATATATACACATCTTCTTTATCCATGAGCACTTGGGGTGCTTCCATAGTTTGGCTATTGTAAATAATGTTGTAATAAACATACAGGTGCATGTAACCCTCTGAGTTTGTGTATTTTTTGGATAAATACCCAGTAGTGTGATTACTGGATCCTAGGGTAGTTCTATTTTTAATTTTTTTGAGGAACCTCCATACTGTTTTCCACAATGGCTCCACCAGTTTGCATTCCTAACAACAGTGTGAGGGGGTTCCTTTTTCTCTACATCCTTGCCAACACCTGTTTATTGTTTTTGATTTTAGCTATTCTGGGAGCTGTGAAGTGGTATCTCCTTGTACTTTTTATTTAAAAATTTTTTTTTGTTTAATGTTTGTTTATGTTTGAGAGAGAGAGAGAGACAGAGTGTAAGTGGGGGAGGGGCAGAGAGACAGGGAGACAACAGAATCCAAAGTAGGCTCCAGGCTCCAAGCTGTCAGCACAGAGCCTGATGCGGGGCTCGAACTCGTGAACTACAAGATCATTACCTGAGCCAAAGTGGGACACTCAACTGACTGAGTCACCCAGGTGCCCCGCTCCTTATACTTTTTATTTGCATTTCCCTGATGATCAGTGATGCTGACAGATTTTATTTTACATCCTTCATTACAGAGTTCCATGTCCACAGGGAATCATTTTAGAAATATATATTTTTGCCTGCACCCTTAAATATCTTTGTTCCCATGACTGTCTATTGTATAGGACCTAAAAAATTTCAACACAGACTTATCCAATCATTGGTGTGTCAAGTGTTACTAAGAGGGGAAAAAAAAATCACAGACTTCAAGTTGTATTACAAAGCTGTAGTGATCAAAAGAGTATGGTACTGGCACAGAAATAGACACTTGGATCCACGGAACAAAACAGAAAAGCCGGAAATGAACCCACAATTATATGGTCAATTAATCTTTGACAAAGCAGGAAAGACTATACAATGGGAAAAAGACTTTACAATAAATGGTGTTGGGAAAACTGGTCAGCTACATGCAAAAAAATGAAACTGGACCATTTTCTTAAACCATACACAAAAAAAAATTCAAAATGGATTAAAAGCCTAAATGTGAGACCTAAAACCATAAAAATCCTAGAAAAGAACATAGGTGGTAATGTTTCTGATATGGGCTGTAGCAACATTTTCTAGATATGTCTCCTGAGGGAAGGGAAAAAATAGCAAAAATAAACTACTAGGACTATATCAAAATAAATAGTTTCTGCATAGCAAAGCAAACAATCAACAAAACTAAAAGGTAACCTACTTAATGGGAGAAAATATTTGAAGATGACACATCCCATAAATGGTTAATATCTAAAATACATAAAGAACTTATACAAATATCCAAAAAACAAATAAATAATTGAAAAAATGGGCAGAAGACATGAACAGATATTTTTGCAAAGAAGACATCCAGATGGCCAATAGACACATGAAAAGATGCTCAGCATCACTCATCATCATGGAAATACAAATCAAAACTATGATGAGATCCTATATGTGGTCTCAAAATACCCTCTCTCCAGCATCACTGAATTTTCTTCACTTCTCAGGTCAGTAATGTCAACCATGAATCAATGCTATGTGTCATTTTTGCCTTGCCACCTGAGCTCCTGCTGGAAAGATCACAAAAGGAGGACTAACAATACTACAGAAATGACTGATTTTACTTTCCGGCTATGGCTGGGGACTCAGTACCACCTGTGAATCCTATTACTTGGTTCAATTCGTCTCACACCCCAGCTGAGTGACTGTTTCAATCCATTAGTGTTGTCAAGCTCTTCAAAGCTCCTCACTCTAAGCAAGCAATCTTAATTTCTTTATGAATGAGTAAACTAAGGCTAAAAGGGTATGACTCTCAATTTCTTCCCTGATACCAACTCATCCATAGCCCTACATCTTAAAGGAAAACCTTATCTTCTTACCGAAAATGAGTTTATTCCTTGCTCCATGACCAGCCTGCCTACCCTTGTTGGTACCCCCTTTCTATCTCCTTTGTGGAGTCCCTCTTAACACATCACCACCATAAACCTCTCATGATTAAGAGTCAATGTGCAGCCATCAGCCTGTCAACTAATTTCTACTTTTCATTTCATATCCAAACCACATATACACCGTGAAACAGTTGTCCTTCCTCTAAAATCTTTTTTTTTAATTTTTATTGAAATTCCAGTTAGTTAATATATAGTATAATACTAGTTTCAGCTGTACAATACAATCTGAGTTCCACCACCCCAAACTCTGGTAAAACTGCAGGAAGGGCTTAAGGCCTTCTTTATTGTAAAATTCAATGGACATTTTTCTTTTCCTAGACCTAATTAATCCTTGATGTTCTCTATTCATTTGGCTTCTTGGATATTAGATTTTACTTCTCTGTATAACTTTCTAGCCACTCTTTTCATTGTGGGCTCCTCTTTCCCTGCCAGTCACTGAGACGTTTAATGTTACCCAAAATCATTTTCCTAGGTTATCTCACCCAATCTGAGATTTAAATTACTACTAGTAAGCTGGTAATACTCAAATTAGTAGTTCTAGCCTAGATACTCAACCTTGTATGTTCAGACAGCTCTCTGGATGTTAGAGATATTTGAAACTTAGGCGGTCTAACTCCTAATGAGGAGAGGACAGTTAATGAGGACAATTGACTGTCTTGCTACCAAACGGATACTAATAAATGGTAATAACCATCTATCCATTTGCTAAAAATACATGTCTTGGTTTTATTTCTATCTTCCACCAGAAAACTAGGTAAGTCTGTCAGGCTTTAAATTGTTACAGTTTTGTAAAGAATAAAACAAGAACCTACCTTAAACTTTATTTTTGGCTTTTGTGTTTCTGTAGAGGCCTCTCCTTTTTCTGCTTCCTGCTCCCCATCAGAATCACTATGAGAATCTGATGATTTGGACTCTTCTAGGGTATCAAGTGACTTTTCATTGACTTTACTAGAAAGCAGGTCGCCAGAATGTGGAATGAAATCATCAGGTTTTTCCCATTTGGATTCTATTCAACACATTTTAATAGTCGTGTTATTATTACCAATTCTATTCAGAAATAACTCCCGATATAACATTCCCTATCGCTTAAAATACATTACTTTTTTTAACCTTTTATTTTTTTTTACAATATAGTATTAAATAACAACATTGCATCTATTTCCCACCATCATTCATTTAAGAAGATAACTTAAAATAAGAGTTTCCAAAGCTCTTGCTCTTTTACCTTTTAGAAGCTGATTTCAATCTGGATTCTCTAGATGTATAACTACAGCCCCAAAGGAAAGAGACCTAAGAATTGGGCAATACCTTCTAAAGACTCTCATAACTTACACCAATATGTGATACTGAACACATATCAGATTTCCTAGAGTTTATAAATCTTTATTTATCACAAAGATTTCCTGGGATTCTCACAAAGTGAAATCATACAGTGAAGATCTGAATGAATATAATTTGTCATTTTTATACTAGGAAAAAAATAATCTCCACTGAATTCTACTGCCATCCAGTGGTCTAGAAATGATAGCATTTCTAATTATCTTGCAGTTATTCTCTATTTTTCATTTAATAAAAGGAAAAGGGATTCTAAGATTTACTGCCCAACTGAGACAGTTTTTAAGAGTGAAAGGGGCTCTATTAATAATTATACTCATCTAGACATAAACTGGAACTGTTTGAGGGCAAATCAATTTGTCTCTTATTAAAGAGGATGGTTTCCGGGGCACCTGGCTGGCTCAGTTGGTGGAGTGTGCAACTCTTGATCTGGGGATTATGAGTTAGTTTGAGCCCCATGTTGGGTGTAGAGATTACTTAAAAATAAAATCTTACAAAAAAAAAAAAAAAAGGATGCTTTCCAACATTAATAAAAACATTATTTCCTTATCTATATTTCACATAAATAAAAAAACTTTCAGGAAGTAAATAACTTAAGCACCTACTATGTATCAGGTACTGTTCTGAGAACTATAGATACTTGACCCTCATGACCAAAGACAGTACATATAATCACTTCTACTTTACATAAGAGCAGTTATAGGTTTAGTTACTTGCCCACAATCATATAGCTGCTAAGGGAAGAAGCTATGCATTAAACTCAGATCCAACTCTCTAGCTGTATCACTATATTATTTTATCTTTAGAAAGACTCAGTACTGCAATCTTACTGAGATAGAATGATTACTATCACTGGGCAGGCTAGGTATCTACTTGGAGGCTAAGAAGGCCTCTTCCCCCTAAAAGATTTAATGGTATGTAGAGGGTTTTCGATAGTAGAAATTTGATTAATAAAGTCTCCTAAAGTTATATTGATACTATACACATCCTGGTAAATTTAATTATAGTAGAAATTAAATACAATTACTTGATAACCCATTTTATAAAATTAAATTAGATAAAATCTTAATTTGAAAAACCTACATAATAACTAGGTAACAGTAGTTATATTTTATATTCATATTAACCAAAATGTTATTGAATTAGTAAAAATGAAAATTTGATAATCTCAGCCACTGCTAAAATAGTTTGTTTTGATTTTTAGAAAAGGAAAAAAGGCAAGTTGAATTAGATGATTTCTAAGGTACCTTCCAAGTTAATGATTATACTCCTATAACTGTCACAATAAAAATCAATAATGGCAGTGAAAGTAAAAATGATTTTTAAAATTTGTGAATGGGGTATCAATTGAGAATAATAAGCAGTACAGTATATTATAAATGAGAATCTTTCTGTTTTTCTATTGTATTGTTTTCAAACAACAAAAAGTAATACATACTTGCTATAGAAACATGTTTATCACTATACTAAAACCCCCAAGTTCCCTTTATCAGCAGGCTACTAAGCAGTTTCAAGTACAATTCTATATAGTTAGAATAATCAAAGGTAATACTTACCTCCTGTTTCTGTATTATAATAGTAGGTATAACCATCTTCGCTTAAACCTTCTACCCAAACAGTCTTCCCTGCTGTCTATTGGGAGGGGAAAAAAAAAGCAAAAACTGAAGACAATGATGTAGTTTTACTATGTTAAATAACTAAGGCAGAGTCAACTACCTTTCCTTTTCTCTTGACACCAGGAGTTAGGGGTGACAGTACTGACTATGGTCAGGAAGCTTGGTTTGTGTTACTACTGAGCCAACTCTCAGGGAGAGACTATCTCACCTCTGAAAGCCAGGAACAATTCTTTGCAGACGGGTAGGGACATCTGAATGGCAACTGACTGTCAACCAACTGATATTTGCCCTACATGGAGTTTTTAGGTAGATACCACTTTTCTTCTTCCACCCAGCCTTCTCACAAAAGAATTAAAGAAATAAAGGAACAAAGTGTGTAGAAAGGGCTTATTTGGAAGAAAATTAGCTTACGATAACTCTATAAAAGCCCCGGGAACCAATCAGTTTAAAGAATAAAGCAAAGACACTATCAATGTGCTTCAGTTACCTTTTTTAAGTTTCCTTGAAATCCTTCAGGTCTCTCCCACTGGGATGCTTAAAGCAAAATATATTGCATTTACAAAATTTTTTCGCTTAAAAAGAAGAAAAACTTCAAAAAATTTGGCAAAAATTTACAAGATATTCAATGTGTACAAAACACTGCAGATCTATAATTAAAAATATAATTGAAAAATAAAAAGAACATATATCCCAGTAATACTGTATAGAACACATGTGAATAATATTTAACCAAGAAGGAAGAACTGAATGAAGGATTAGAAATTACTGGTACTTTCAAAGGAATTATTAGAGACAGGTAGGACTTCTCCTAAAGACTTCACGGAATTCAGGCTTGAAAAGTTTTTAAGTTTTTTATTTATTTTTTTGTTAGTAATCTCTACACCCAGTTTGGGGCTTGAATTCACAACCCAGAGATCAAGAGTCACATGGTCTTCAGACTGAGCCAGGCAGGCACCCCAGGCTTGGTAAGTTTTGAAGGTATGAGATGGCAGTTTAACATCCTGGGGAGGGGAAAGTGAGGGACAGAAAGAAGGACTCAGAAGAGGAACAAGATGAAGGATGCAGGAAAAAATAAGTACAGGTGACCTTTGAACAACAGGAGTTTGAACTGCATGGGTCCACTTATAAGCAAATTTTTTTCAATAAATAAACTGAGAAATTTTTTTAGAGATTTGTGACAATTTGAAAAAATTAGATGAACCATGTAGTTTAGAAATGAAAAAATTAAGAAAAAGGTATTACTGTAAGAATACAGTATACAACACATACACAAAATATGTGTCAATTGGCTGTGTTATCCGTAAGGCTTCCAGTCAACAATAGGCTATTAGTAGTTAAGTTTTTGGGGAGTCAAAAGTTATAAAATACCCTATGATCCTGTAATTCCACTACAGACATATATCCAAAGAAAATGAAACACTAACTCGAAAAGATATACGTACCCTATGTTTATTGCAGCATTTATTTATAATAGCCAGGATATAGAAGCAACCTAAGTGTTCACTGATAGACGAATGGATAAAAATGTGAGATACATAGCTCTCTCACAACTCTCTCTCACACACACATGCACACACACACAATGGAATATTACTTCGCCATAAAAAAAATAAAATAAAATTTTGCCATTTGTGACAGCATGGATGAACCTAGAGAATATTATGCTAAGTGAAGTAGGTCAGAGAAAGACAAATACCATATAATTTCATTTACATGTGTAGTCTAAAAAAAAAAACAAAACAAATCAGACTCTTAAATACTGAGTACTGGTGGTTACAGAAGGAGGGAGAAGGAGGATAGATAAAACAAGTGAAGGTGATTAACAGGTTCAGAGTTCCAGTTATAAAATAAATAAGCCATAGAGATGAAGAAAAGTACAGCAAAGGGAATACAGCCAATAATACTGCAATAATGCTGTATGGTGACTACACTTGTGGAGAGCATCGGTTAATGTACAGAATTGTCAAATCACTGTTTTGTACATCTGAAACTAATATAACATTGCATGTCAGCTGTAGTTTAAAAAAAGTTATAAGGAGATTTTCAGTGCCCCTAATACCTGTGTTGTTCAAGGGTCTTGCTGAGAACAAGAGTATATACAGTAGGATGGCAGACAAAGGAAGCAGACAATAGGATTTAGAAGGAACACATAATTAGTAGTTTCAATGTAACTTTGAGCAAGACTGATGATCTCTAGCATACAATCACGGTTCACTGCTGAACTATCTCATATGCACTTCTCTTAAGGCTCAGTGTAAACGGTGAGTGATTAATACTATTCCTATGTAGTCCAATACTGTGATTCTAAAAAAATCGTAACAATTACAATAATACTTGTAACCCAAGGTTTTCTTCATGGTTAACTCTGATCTCATTTCCTTTCTGATCATTCTTACTTAACTTTTTTCTGGCTTTCCTTCTTTCATACCTCAGTAAATGGCAGCATTATCCTCCTAATCCTCCATGATATGGCACCAATCTATTTTTCCAGCCTCTTTCTTCTGCTAGGACATCTTCAAAGAACTGTGTGTTTTACCTCCACCAGATGACTATTCCCTAAACTTTCAAACTTTTTAAAGCTTCATATCACACCTGTTTAGAAAGCTTGCTTTACCCTTATAGCAACCTAGTATATAATCTTTTTTCAATCAATATCCATAAACTGTACCATGCTAGGCCCTGGGTTTGGTGCTAGGGATGCAAATACTGAATAAGACATCATTCCTGATGCTCTCATCTGTTTTTTTGTTTTTTTTTTTTAATATTTATTTATTTTTGAGAGAGAGAGAATGTGTGTGCACATGTGGATGAGAGACAGACAGAGGGAGACAGAGACCCAAAGCCAGCTCTGCTGCTGACAGCAGAGAGCCTGATGCAAGGCTCGAACTCACAAACTGTGAGATCATGACCTGAGCCCAAGTCAGATACTTAACTGCCTGAGCCACCTAGGGCCCCCCTGATCCTCTCATCTTACAGATCAGCTCAAAAGCAATTTCTGTGATGATCTGTCAGATCCACATAATCACAATTAATACCTCAGTATTCTGAGTTCCTTTATAATCTTACTTATATCTCTATACTGTAACACTTTAAAATTCCTCCTTTTATCATGCTTATTTCTAACCTTAAATTTTATGTTTCTGAGAGTAAGATGCTTCATAAATGTACAAAAAAAATGTATTTATCTCAGAATTTATATGGAACAAAAATCCCCAATACATTTAGTTTTAAAGGAAAACAAAAAAATGTTTTTGATATTCTCACTTGAAAATACCATTATGTATTTTATTAGAAAGTGATACCCAAAGCATTAATCTGGGGTGGATGGGGTAGTTCTTTACTAGGTAATCAAGACAGCTACATAAAAAAAGAAAATGGCTTCTGGTTCCCAGTCCACTTTTGGATAGAAAAATCTTTCTGACAGAGTATTTTAAGAACCCCTGCAATTTGCAAAGTGGATCTGAAATGCCTTACTTCTATGTAAAATGTTTTATTTTATTTCCATTTAGTTCATAGTTTTGGAAAGTTTTGAGAAAAATATAGTTTTAACTTATTTGTAAGGAATCCATTCTTAAGGCTTTAATGAAGTATGATGTTAAGTCATTCTAAGAGGATAATATATATATATAACTATCTACTTATTTGTATACTTATTTATTTATTCATTTATGTGAGGGGGGGAGGAGGGGGGGAGTGAGCAGGAAAGGGACAAAGAAAGAGGGAGAGAGAGAATCCCAAAAAGCTTGCCAGACTCAATCTCGGGAACCATGAGATCACGACCTAAACCGAAATCAAGAGTCAGATACTTAACCAACTGAGCCACCAAGGTGCCCCAAAAAGGGTATTTAAAGGGCACATAACTTTTTTACTATTGTGGCAAAGATGTAAAGCTACACTCTTCTACTGCTTAAATGTGCTAATATTAACACAAAATTAACTGTCAGTTATTATTCCTTACTGTTTCTATGCCTAAATGACCTACCTCCTGTGATGAGATCATAATAGTAATGGTAACCCTCAGAGGTTATGCCTTCTACCCATCTTCCCTTTGAAGGGTCTTTTTTCCTCTTCTTCTTTTCCTTCTGCTGATTTGATGCAGAGGTTGGCGGGACAGTACTTGTTACTGGTGATATGCTTGGCTCTGAAATTTCTAAAGAAAAAGACATAAGAAAGGTGAAGTACCAATGCAACTTTTTTTCTGGTATAAGACAATACTGTTATTTCAATCAAAAGCTTGACAAGAAGATTCTTTTGGGAACTTCATAGGTTATTATAAAGCTCATCTGGAAAACCAAATATGTACAAATACCCATAATTATAAAAAAGAAATGCTAAGGGGAAGCTCTTCTACCAGATATTAAAACTTACTCTGGTTAATTACTTGGAAAAAAGTAAAGCTATTCCCCAATCCATGGTCCCTCCCATGTCTTGATATTAATCTTTCACATCAAAGAAACACATAAAAAAAAAAAAAAACATGAAGTAAAATAATGTTAAACTTAACTAGATACGAATCCAAATATTCTGTATAGCAAAAATTAAAAAAAATAAAAGAATATACTATGTTAATTATAATGGAGTTAAGATTTAAAAAAAAAGAAAGACAAATAATAAACATTTACAACAAATATGACACAGGGTTAATGTTCATAGCAAAGATCCCTCATAAACAAATCCAACATTCTAACAGAAGATGGACAAAAAGTACAAAGATAATCAAGACAATACATACATTCACCAATATTCAAGAAACATAAATAAATGTAATTTTCTTCTGCATTAGATCAGTAAGTACTGAAAAGAATAATCAAATACAGTTAATCTAATCCATTAGGTATTTACATGGGCGGGATAAGAGTAGTTTTAATGGCTTTAATTTTTTGTAAAAACATTAGCCAGTTATTACCAAATAACTTAATAAGTTATTTCTACAAAAGTATAAATTAGCCCAACATTTCTGGAGACAGCTTGGTATCAGCTATCAACATATAAAATATATTCATACTTAAATTCTGCAGTCTTACCTCTAGAGCTTAAACCTACAAAAATAAATGTGAAAACATGCTTGCATACGGGTGCTCACTGAAGCATTCTTTCTAACAGTGAAAACTCTAAGCAACCTAAAGGTTAGGAAGAGAAATCCCACTTTTATGACATTTTATACCCTTTATTAAACACTTGCTACAAATGGTCTATAATAAACAGTTTATACCACTACATTATTTAGTTTTTATGAAAATCAAAGGTTGTATAGCTAGCAAATGGCAATTCTGGTGGATTCCAAAGCCTGTGCTCCTAACCACTCTGTAGCCACTAAAAATGATGTACATCCTTAATTGTTTAAAGGAAAAGAAGTACTTGACATATCATTGAAGGAAAAAATGAGACAACCTCCAAAAAACTGTAACATAAAATTTGGAGTATAACTTAAGAAAGAAAATTCTAAAGATGTTTGGGAAAATCTTAAAAGAAGTTAGTTTTTAAAACTCTTTTTTCTTTGTACTGCATTATTATACTTTTAGAGAAATGTATACCCTATTTAGGCAAACAAGGCTATGAAAAATATTTAATAGAAAAAATTCTATTTAAACACATTTAAATACAAAATGCTAAGATTTATTTGCTAGCAGGGCAGCATAACAAAACTTCCCAATCCATGTAATTGGTGAGATCAATTTTCAACTACTCCTTTTTAATTCTGCAGGAACACCTTCATCCTTTTTTTCCTTTAAACATACAGTTTTATCCTTTATTGGAAATACAGCCCCGACCCCTTCCTTTTAATTAACAATGTCTAGGTTAATATTTTTAACACATGTATTTTTTTTAAAGTTTTTTTCTTTTTGTTTATTTTGAGAGAGACAGCATGAGTTGGGGAGGGATAGATAGAGGGAGAGAGAGAGAATCCTAAACAGGCTCCGTGCAGCCCGATGTGGGGCTTGAACCCGCGAACTGTGAGATCATGACCTGAGCCTAAACCAAGAGTTGGATGCTCAACCGACTGAGCCACCCAGGTGCCCCTAGGATAATATTTTCAAAGTCTGGTTACAACTGTCCTTATCTGATGAGGGCAATGCCAATTAACTTCTTATTCTGCTTAAAAACTTCACAGAAAGAAGTTTTCAGAGAATGAACAATACCATTCCAGGTTGACTATCTCAACTATTATGCAAGATCAACAACTGGGACTGCTTATCTGCCTGGTTTAAGGACAGTGGATTTGTCATGGAAGAAATGCTGACAGAAATGTTCCCGAGTTAAAGCCTAAATTCATCAACAAGATACATACACTGTACTTAAATAAATGCCTTTTATCTGGAACTGAGTTCTCCTCAAACCTTCAGATTATTTACCTTCTTGGTGACTATGAGATAAAAAAAGGTATCCTTATATAAGAATTATATGTAAACTGGTCTAACCACTATGGAGAACATATGGAGGTTCCTCAAAAAAATAAAAATAGATCTATGATCTGACCCACCAGTTCCACTTCTGGGTATATATCCAAAGGAAATGTAAATAGGATTTCAAAAAGATACATGCACTCCCACACTTACTGCAGCATTACTCACAAGAGCCAAAGTATGGCCATACCTAAATGCCCATCAACAGATGGACAAAAAAGATGTAGTACATATATATAATGGAATACTATGCAGGCACGAGAAAGGAGGATATCCTGTCATTTGCAACAACATGGATGGACCCTGAGCATAATATGCTAATACATGAGACAAGTCAAAGAAAAGACAAGCATACTGTATGATATCACCTATAAGTAGAATCTAAAAAAAGTCAAACTCCTAAAAACTAGAAAGCAAAATTGTTGTTACCAGGGAATAGGGGATCGGAAGGGTTAAGGCTGATATTGTTTAAGGGTACAAACTGGCAAGAAGTAGTAAGTATATAAGCCATAGAGATTTAATACACAGTATAATGAATATAGACAACAATACTGTCATTAGGTAATGTGATAAATACTGCTAAAGCAGCAATCACATTATATATAAATGTATCAGAGTAACACCTGCATACCTTACACTTATACATGTCAAATTTACATGTCAAATTTATCCAATTAAAAAGACTATCTACCTTCTAGTGGTAAAATCAGTAAATTTGTCCACAAAAGGCTAATTCATTATAACTCAACTACATAAACAAACATAATTTATAGTTTTGACCATATGGATAAAGTGAATAGTGGGTATAATGAAAGGCCTATTTTTTAATGAATAGTTCCTTTTAGCCAAATACCTAAAACACTCAATTGTCTCTGAAATGAACACTGATCTAAAACAGAACTAGGAACTAGCTAACTACCAAAATGGTATGGTTGTGAATGAAGGTGTTAAAAGATGAAGCTTTAAAGTAAAACAAAGTGCAGGAGTAAAGTCCCACAGTCTAAATACAGCTATGATGCATAGGAAAAGCACTAAGCGTATACCCTGAGTGTATAACCTCTTTATGGAAACAATAAAAGCTCACTTAGCATGACCTCTGATGTTAGTTTTAAAACATGCTGGCTGCTTTTTTACCTGACTCTAAGCCAAGTCTTTTCAAATCCTCTTGGTAGGCTTTCAGGGCAGCTGCCTCCATTGCGGCAAACTCCTTTGATGCCTTTTCTTCTTCCTTTGCCTTATCCAGGCTTTTCTGTTTAATCTATGGAAGACACATATAAAAGTGAAAGCCAGGTGAAGTACTGATATTTACACAGAAAAATTAGCAAAGAAAGAAATAAACTAAATTACCTCACTGATCCTCTTTGCCACATTTTCCTTATGATTCTTTCCTCTTTCGTGAAATTCAACACTCTTGAAAATGAATAAAAGAGAAAGTGCAAAGGAAAGCTACGTAAAATATCATAATGTTCATACCAAATAAGTAACAGTAAATTTGGGAGTGTAACATAACAAGATTGAAATAAAAAATGATTGACAGGAAAAAGAAGAATAATTTTAAAGCAAATGAGACCTTTTTATCAAATGATGCTAGGGAACTGAACCATGTTATTTATTATCATACCCTCTGATCAGGTTTTCTTTGGTGCTTAAAATAAACTCTGATGACCATATCAATGAAGAAAAATACAAGACACCCTTGATGACTAATCCAGTGAATATGATTGTAATGAGGGCTCAAACAAAACAGGAAGCCAAAAGAGGAGTGGAAAAAAAACTTCAAGAAACACCTCTCAACATAAAAAGTCAAAACCAGTTAAGTCCCTAGAATTTGTACTGCTCTATTTGCCACATTAGGCAAGGGACATAGAGAATAAACAATAATCCTTAGAACCTTATTCCTCCAAATTGGGAGAAAAGTAGACAGTAAAGGATTCCTCCTAAATTGTAAACAAATACTTTTATAGAATGTGGTAATGATACAAAATGTAAAACTCCTGTGAAAGACAATTTGGCACTATCTACCAAAATTTGGCTGCTGGCATAAAGAATAAAGCTCCCTCTATGGAGAAAGCTCCAGGATCTACTGTTCAATGAAAAAAACTAACTAACAAACAAAAACCACACTAAACTATGAAGAATAGTGTATATGGTATCCTACATTTTATGTACGTTGGAATAGAAGCCTCTATATACATGCAGAAACAATGGAAAAATTAGACAAGAAAATGAAAAAAGTGGCAACCTACAAAGAATGATGGTAACTGGATGGGACAGTGGAGTGAGTGAATGTTATTACCTATTTAAAACAGCCAGGAATGCTCCCTAAATTACAAATGTCTGGTTGTATACAGTAAGGAAGTTTGGGTAAATTTTCTACAATTCACTGAAGTGAATTCCTCTTTAAATGGTAACACTGTAAAACAAATGTTCATCTTCTGTTTTTCATATACTGGTTTTCCTAAATTATACCACACAAAGAATATTAAAGGCCCATTCAAAAGACATTAATTTTGGGGCGCCTGGGTGGCGCAGTCGGTTGAGCGTCCGACTTCAAGCCAGGTCACGATCTCGCGGTCCGTGAGTTCGAGCCCCGCGTCGGGCTCTGGGCTGATGGCTCGGAGCCTGGAGCCTGTTTCCGATTCTGTGTCTCCCTCTCTCTCTGCCCCTCCCCCGTTCATGCTCTGTCTCTCTCTGTCCCAAGGATAAATAAATGTTGAAAAAAAAAATTAAAAAAAAAAAAACAACAAAAGACATTAATTTTGCTTCTAATTAAAGGGCAAATCAATGTATATTAACAATCCAAGGATAAGAAAGACATCCTAGAATGGATTATTTACCCTTTGTGACTCCTAAAATTCATTGAACTGGTTGGGTAGCTGAAGAGAAGAGAAACTACCAGTAACATGCATAGATTTCAAAAATTTCTGGCATTCATGTGTAAGAAGGCCTAAGTTAAACAAGATAGTTGAAAACTTCAGCAACTACTCAAAAGACCAAATACCCAGACAAAACCCTGAAGAAAAACATCCCCAAACTCCTTGTAGACAATAATAAATATCTACCAAAGAAATACAACACTGCTAAAGATGGGACTATTTTTTTGTGCATGCAACTCTATCAAGTAAAAAGGAGATGAATATATATTTCAAAGATACACTGGTATTTATGTACTACATACATATTGCTATGACATGTATTTGAAGGGGGGGGAATCAGTGATGCTTTTGTTTCATGTCTTAAAAGCTTAATCTAGATTAAGAGATACGGTAGTAAAGTACTTAACAAAGCTATTTTCATATCCCATGAAAGAGGTAACGATATTCTTTAAAATGTAACCATTTATAGCTATAAAATTCTGCAAATATATTTAATTAGAATAGAAAAGAAACAAGATAAACTACAATAATTGCTCCTTTTTACACATTAAGGGCTTTGTCCTTTTATGTTTCTTTGTACACGATAGTAGATAGTATTACAGATAGTATTACAAACATCGTGTGGCTAAACATGGATGAGATTACCCACTCAATGTCCATTTCCTGAATGTCACTGAAGGACCATAGAGAAATAATTTGGCTTACTATATAATCAAATTTAAGCTGATGAAAAAGAAAGAAGCTCACAGCTCTCCTACAAGAAATGAAAAGACAACAGAAATCCTTCAACTTTGAAAAATCAAGAGCAATATATATGAAGGTACTTTGTAAATGCTGAGTTTAGACAAAAAGGAACACGTGAATAAAATATTATTAGATTCTCTTATAGTGTAATTATCATACAGGCCTATTGTCCGCTATCCAACACTTGCAGTAATCACAGAATTTCTTTGGTTGCGACTTCCAGTAGTCTGCCCTGAAAAAGGTAAAAACAAGTCTAAGGTTATTTATAATATAAAAAGGTAAAATTGTGCATGCTTTACATTTTCTTAGAGTTTCAATCATAAGCCCCTGCTACTGAATGTTGTCTTATTTTATTATTTATCTCACTGCAGCAGTTAGTCGAAATTGTTGCCAGTAAAAAGGAAAAAAGTCTGCACCGGATTTAAAACTCCCTTACATAAAAGTGTTTTTAAAAAGTTTTTTTTTCTTTTCATTTGCCATCAGAAATAAGAAACATCTTGGAAAAGATTTATCTTCTTTACGTCTTTCTGGCATTTTTGGAAGCTGTTGTAATGGGAGGCCCGAAAAAACTCAAAGTTTGCTTTAAATCAAGTTCTTTCCATTAAAAGAGCAAAGAACAAGACTCCTCAGGTGAGAGACTGTGGTTCCTCCGAGACTATCAGTTAATACAATTTGTTCTCGAGCCTCAGGGCAAGAGAGAGTTGGAAAAGCCGAGACCTCTCAGCCGGCAAGACTTAAAAAAAAGTCAGCACGCTAGCCAAGACTGGACGTTTCTTCCAGGCGGAGGAGGGCAGCCGTGGCCGAAGTCCAACCCTAAAGTTTCACAACACCCCACGTTCAAGTGCTACGGCATCGAACAGGGTGCTAGCGACCCCCAACAGTGTAAGTGAGCACCCGGTTGCTTCCCGGGAGGCAGTCTAACCCCAACTGGCCGCCAGCCTCCTCCCCAAGCCTGTGCTTCAGGCCCCCAAGGCGCTCCGCAGGGTAGCATTTCTACCCGCCCAGAGAACCGGCCCGGCCTGTCTGGTGACAGTCCCGAGCGAGTTAAGAACACCTCCGTCACGCCTCCAGCCGAAAGGAGGAGGTGGGGAGGGATGGTGGTGGAGTGCGAGACCCGCGGGGAAAGGGCCGCCCAGAGAAACAACACTTCGTTGTTTAGAGCCTGAGACCCGACTCACATGACTGGACCAGCCGCTCCGCGCGCCGCCCCCGGGTCCGGCTCGAGCTCGTGTTCCCCGCGCGGGACGAGGTGAGGCCCGGCCCGCCGCGAGGCCCACCCGAGCCTCCAAGCCCGGACACCTCCCTCTTTCCCCGGGACCAGTGTTCCACGGTTCCCAACTACGGGTGCCCAGACGACTCAATCCGCGTTCGAAATCTCCTCCTCTTCCCCTCCCCCTACAGGGGCGGTACTCCAGGATCCTGAGAGGTGGGGTCGGTATAAAGGGGTTGAGGTCACCGAGAAAGGGTGAAAGCGCGACGGGACCTGAGCCGAAGGACGGGAACCTCACGCCTCAAGTTCCCGAATCATCCCGACTTCACTCTCTCTCTTCCCCTGGGATCCAGAACCTCCACCCTTCTTCTAGGCTCGCTGGCTCGTGGCCAAGGAGCTCGCGCGCCGCCTCCGCCCCGAGCGCAAACAGCTGTTCCCCGAGACGTCGCCGCCCTCAACTTTGCCAACTAGTCCGCACGCCCTTTGACCAGCGGAGCAACCCGGACCTGTAGGCTGGGGGCCGTTGGCGGAGTTAAAAAAAGAAAGGTGAAACAGCTGGTTTCGGGGCCGCGAGTTGCTGGGCTTTGCCTCAGAACTTTCCGGAGGCGGCGGAGTGGCCCCGCCCCGCCCCCGCGACGCCCGCGCGCACGGGCTGTGCTAGTTTCTTCGCTCCGAGAGCGCGTGGGCAGCGGCGGCGGCGGCGGCGGCGGCGGCGGCTCCAGCGGCGCAAAGGCGACAGGGGGGAGCGGCGGCGCGGGCAAGTGGAGCAGAGGCAGCGGTAGCGCCTGCGTCTGTCAGGTGAGTCACGGCAGTGTCCCAGCCAGCACTTCCCATATGGTCTAGCGGTTAGGATTCCTGGTTTTCACCCAGGCGGCCCGGGTTCGACTCCCGGTATGGGAATGTCGTAGCTTTTTTTTTTTTTTTTTTTTAAACCGAATGAGGACTCTCATTTTATTTTCAGTAGCTCTGGCTTTCTACTTGTCTCCTTCTCATGATGAGTTTGTGAAAAACGAGCATTAGTGTAGTTGTTAGCGACTCCGTGACCCGTGCTGCGCCGGGCTGGCTGGAGGAGCGAGTGCGCTTAGGGTCCCCTCGCTTCCCTCCTCTGGCTGGTGGGGCTGAGCCTCGAGGAAGGAGTTTCACTTTCCCAGGGGCTGCCTGCCCGCTCCTTCGCCCCGAGTCGTCCTTTCCCAGACGCTGGGGAGGTGATGATTAACTCTGGCCTCGCCTTATCTCCTCCCAGCGCCCCCCTGGGGCCCACACCCTCCGCGGCCGCAGTTTTCCGACGGTCCCAGGCGACGCGGGGGCGTGTTCGTCCCCTGCCCGCCGCGAGCCCGCGCCCCTTTCGGAGTCCTCGTTCTCATTCCGCCGGCTGTTGTTCACGGGAACCCCCCCCTCGGCCCCCGGCACAAAGCCTCCTGTCGCGGGGCACGCGGCGGCGAGGCGGTCTGGCGTGCTTCGGTGCCCGCGGGCGCGCTTTCCCGTCCGCGCAGCTGCCCGTCACCGCCCGACCGGCCGCGTGTCCACCCGGCTCTCCCGCAGCGGCCAGCTCGTCCCAGCTTGACCTCGGGGGCGCTGGTCGCAGCTCAGAAAAGTACCGCGGACTCCAGAGCCACAGGCTCGAGTGCCTGTCTCTGCCTGGGAAGGCCTCTGGGGAAGGGAATGCGCGTCCCCCCCCCCCCCAACCCCGCTTTAAAGCGCGCGCGCGCACATGTTGCGGAGGAAAAAAAAAACACCACTACGATGAGATGCCTTTCAAGAAGAAATTTAACTTTCCGAAGGGTCTAACGTTTTGAGCGCCTCTGATAGAAAATCTTGGGGTGGAGGTGGGGCTTGGAAGAGAGAAAATTGGCTGAAGACTGGGGAGGGGATGTTCCAACAACGTTTCACTGTATTTTTAAGTATAGAAGCCCTGTGTTTATTACAAAGAAGGGGCAGCTGTGTCAGCAGCATGTGAGCTGTAAATGGAACAAAAGCGTTATCTTAAATGCAAGCTGAAATTAGAAAAGGGGGTGAGCTATAATGTTTAGTCCATTGGGCTTCTGGGAACAAATAGAGAAGGAAAAAGTGGCTCTTGTGGATGGGTTTCTGGTCAGTGCCATTACTAAGAGCAGATGATTGGGTGGTTAGTGTGCGCATTCCCAAACTTTTATATTTTGCCGGCACAATGAGTTTTGAAACAATCTGTTAACGTGATCCGCATGATTAAGGATTAATCACTTTTATATTGTAAATAAACTCCCAGAACTAGAAGTATTTTATATGTTTTTTAATTCAAATGTTTACACCAAGCACCATCACATGCTTTTGGAAGTTACTGTTGTTGACGTTGGTGTAAGTTGTGGGTACAACACCGAATGTAATTGTGTTTTGGCTCCTGTCATTAGCTTGCGATTGACTTTTTGTGGATCTTTCACCTTCTCTGTACTCTGGGTTTACAGCCATAAATTCTTGATAATACGTATCACTCCAAAACTTTAGATAGAATGGCAGGGATTGTTGAGCATTCTTGAATAGGTAATGTGAGTGGGAAAGGTTCATTTTTTAATTTTTTTTTTGAAAAGTTTCATTTAAAATGAAGAATGGGATCATGTCATTATTGAGAAACTACTGAAGACTTTGGTCTGAATTTGGGTGGAACGAAGCCCCCTTCCTCGTGTCCAGTGAGGGCTTAACTCTTGACTTTACATTTTGTGATGATTTGGTATCATACTGTACCTAACGGTGCTAAAATGGATGTGATTTTCAGTTGAGCACCCAGGAATTGCAAATAGCTTTGTGTATACTTGAAGGTATGCTGAGGGCAGGAGTTTGGTGATGGTATTTCTCAGATTCATATATTGTTATAGACCAGGCCAAACAAGGTATCTGAGTTGCAGAAGTGAGTGCTACAGGAACCCAGAGGTGAGATGTCAGTTCTGTTCAGGAAAGAGGACTGGAAAGGAGAGGTAGAAGGGAGAGTATTTGCCCTGGACCTTGGAGAACTGGTTGGATTTCTCCTGGTGGAGAATGTGTCTCCTAAAGCTGAGGGGAGTTGAGGGTGGGGGAGCTGGGGAGAGTTGGGATCAACAAGTATGAAGTTGGCAAATAGTCTGGACACAGTGCTTGGAGTGAGAGGCATGTGGAAGAGAATTTCACCTTAATAAATTTTGACGAGGTGAGAGGTTCTTTTATCAAAGGAGTGGTGTTTATGTGACCAGGGTTTTAACAACCCTTTTCCTTTGAAAAAACCAAGTAGAGAAGTAACATGTGAAAACTTACTGTTTTAAAAAATTCAAGTAATATAAACATGTGCCCATAGGTTTTGTTTACTAGTTGAATATTAACTTTTAATAGAATGAGAAAAGCAGTCAGAATTCAATTTGAAAAAATGAAATCTAAGTTTAAATCGTGAGAATTATTTGCAATTATATTCTTACTAGCTTGCTTTATTGAAAATGACCTTGGGGCGCCTGGGTGGCGCAGTCGGTTAAGCGTCCGACTTCAGCCAGGTCACGATCTCGCGGTCCGTGAGTTCGAGCCCCGCGTCGGGCTCTGGGCTGATGGCTCAGAGCCTGGAGCCTGA